TCTAACTAATTATTAATTTTTTATGTAAATGGAAGCATTTTAAATGTATGTAATTATGTAATATATCAATCATGTAATGCAACTGTCATAAGACAACAGGCATAAAACTCTAATTTTAGATTTTTTTTTCTTAAAAACCATACGGTTAATTGGTTTGAAATTTTAATATGATATTAGTTTCGTTTTAAAGAATATTCTATATAATTTTTAAACAGATTGAAGTATTTTGATTTTGCTATCGAACCTCCTTAAGTTTTCTCACGAGTATAATTGATTTATTTTCATTCCTGTATCGCAACGTCGCGACGACGTTATGTTTCGCACGGTGTTTTATAAACGAGGAATCTCGGAAAGATGACTCGCCGCAACAACCACGGTTTTTTTGCCACGATTGTGTATCGATGGAGCATGACTCGCCGCTATGTGAGACGATTTGGAGCAAAAGACGAAAGGGAGAACGTCTCCGGTGGAGAAGAAACATAGGATCCCCGCGGCGCGGTACCTTCTCCGGACCGGGCCTTAAAAATCGAGTCAATTTAAGGACTCGGCCGCGAGCGAGATACAGAGAAACGCGTATATGCATGCGATTCTTCAGGAATCTCCCCTTCGCGAGGATGAGAATTCATTTAATACCGGAACGAGCGTCGAATCTTTTTGCGCTATTTACGACGGGCCTCCTGCGTTATACATTTTTATTAATTATAATCCCCTATATTAATCACACAAGGAACAAAGTTCTACGTTTAATCACGATACTCACGAAAGATATGGCACCGAGATCGTGCCTCGGCGAATCTGAAAACTTAAAACGTTGCCAATACATATATTTGCTCAACAAATATTTTCCCACAATACACACAATCAGTTCGTCGTTCCTTTGCGGGAGTCCGCATGGATAGTCATTTTTCATTGACTGACAAAAATCCTGTCGATGGTAAAGCGAGCCATCCATCGTGATACAAAACACTTCATTCGGTTAACGAAAAGGAAAAAAAGGCAGGAAGCGCGTAAAAGAGTGAAGAAAAGATCTAACCGCGAGAAACGAGGAAGGATAAATTGAAAAAAAAAAGAGAGATGGGGTTTCGTAATTTTAGTAGACGTCATCGATCTAACCTTCGGGAAAGGCGTTCCAGGGGGGTCCCGGAGTTTCTCTTTCAACGAAGGGATCTTTAAGCCCTTTCCTAAGTCTACTCCTATCATGCGCTTCTCTCTCGTTTTCCACATTCCTCATCTATTCTCAGAGTTTACTTGCGCGAATAAAAACGCATCCTATCTACCTGGTGTCCGCGGATTATATCCGCAGGGTAAAAATCCACTGAAAACAAACTTTACCTGCGTCATTGAATCATTGAGTCGTTTGCGATTAAAACTTCATTTTTCCAACGGTTTATATATTTCTTAAAACTAAAATTGTTTTAAACATTTTTCAGAAGATCTTATACATATATTTTTCGACAGTATTTTACTTTTATACAAAGCAACTCGTGCAAAAGCAACTCGTGCCAAAGCAACTTATTCAACTCATTGCCTTAAGTAATTTTAACAAACTAAACTTGTTAAAAGATATGATTCATATCATTTTATATATACATATTATATTACATAATAAAATTTATTTTATTAAAAATACTACTGAAAAGATCGGTTAAACGGATGCTATTCGATAGGGTATCAAGTATTACGAACTTGTTTTTTATACTTTATCCCATATATATATAGAATAGAGCAGATGTACCTGCCAGCAGTCGATTACGCGGCTTTTAGAATCGAGACGTCTCAATTTCACGACTTCGAACCCAAGAAAAAACTTCCCCCGCGGTCTCTCCCTTTTACCGCTTTTTGGACCAACCGCACATCCCCGTGGATTCACCGCCTCTTCCCAACTTGTTATACCTTTAGACCAATCCGGAAGCCAATCACCCCTCTGTAAAGTCTCTGAAATTACGAAAGAACGAAAGAATCGCGAGGAATCAGTCTCGCCAGGAGACTGGCGAAGATCAGAGCTCGATATAGAATATTTGGAAATTTTTAATTAGGTACGTAACAGGATTTCAAATTAGACGAAGTAATGTTCTTTTATTTCATTTAATTCATTCTTCTTCTTTAATTAATTGAAACAATACAAAAGAGAGAAATATGAATTAATGAGCCAAACAAATTCTATCATCTTGAAATTCATCAAGCTATATATGTAGTTTTATTTTGTAATAATCTTATAACGAAATCTTTTATGAGTGATCCTTTATAGGTTAGTAGTCTCAATTACTTATTTTGAATATTATTTTTAAATTAGCACACTGAAAATATATTACAAGTGCGAAACATTTGCGATTCTCCGTTTAGATTATAATATATATTTAAAGACTTAGAACTAGCTTGGCTTATTAATTCACTTTTATTTCTTTCTCTAATCTATCTACTGATTGTGAGTCTTGAAATTATTTTTATTGAAATAATACATGTAATACAACAACCTCTCTAGCAACAATTATAAATGGTAATCGATTTAGTAATCGTGAACTGGTCTGAATAGACCATTTCTGGCCGATAGCTAACAATTTTACAACGCTTCTTATCGAGACTTAAGCTTTTTTAGAGCGCAAAGTTTTCGTTTAATTTATGCGAGTCTTCTTTCATTGAAACAAACATGCAGGAATTTCACTTGTCATTGTTGTAGCGAGTTATATTCAATAAATAACACACGTCCGCGAGTTTCGCTTGTTTTTTTTTTGCTCAATTTGCTTTGTGGTCAGCTTGCTTGGTAAACGTATCTATTCAAGTTGGCCCCGATAAGAAGCCAAAGTTAACTATTTTATGGATCGCTCGAGATATTCCGCGGCTCTCGTTAAACCTCACGAAGACTCGTAAATACGTCAATAACGTTGATACGTCAATGTTGAAATAGCTTTTTTCTCCCACTTCCCAGTTAGTTGCAATAATACATATTACGCACCTTGGATTTCTCGAGAAAGAAGTCGTATATCGTTGATAGCGAAAAACGGCTTCGTCATCGATTACGAAACCATTGAATCCACGTATTGACTCTGCGTTCCGTAAATTCTTTAAACTTTATTTCTTTATCTATATAGAAATTTATTATCTATTTCAAATATTAAAAAAAAAAATGTTCCGTTTAAATCTTAACGAACGACGGTAAAAATGCCTTCCTTTTTCTCGTAGGAAAAATGAAAGTGAAGGAGGAGAAGGACGCCTCGTCAATGGCGCCAGGAAGTCCACCCACGCCTCCGCATACCCCGCAAAGTCCACAACGCGCAATTCCGTCTCTCGGCAATCTGTCGCAATCCTGTCAAACGTCAAACGCAAACTCGCCGAATTTGCAGCAACAGCAGCAGCAGCAGCAACATCAGCAGCAGCCGCCGCAATCGCAGCAGCATCAATCGCAGGTGCAGCAGCAGCAGCAGCAGCAGCAACACCCCATCCACGCCGTGACCAATTCTCCATTGAGTCAAATATTGGTGCAGAATCCGGCATTGGCGCAACTACTGCAACAGAATCCAGCGATTTTGTCGCAGAATCCGCAGTTGGCGCAGCTGCTGCAGCAGAATCTGCAGGCTCAGATGGGCAGCGTGCTGTTTCAAAATGTGAGGCGGGAAGAGTCCGAGGACTCCAAGGTAAGTCCTGCCCTTCGTGGTCTAATGATTATTTTGCGCTCTGATTTCCTCCGTCCCAGAGTTCATTCACCCTTCAGCCGAGGTTATGGACTCAGAATCTCGCCTGCTTGCGAAGGTGTCGTTTACGATCTGAAACAGCAATTTTTGCAATCGTTATATTATACAAATTCTAAAGATCATTATTACGTGGAATTCGGACAAAGGCGCGAATGTCGGCGGATTATCGGGCGTGCTAAAGATTTCAAGTAGCGTCGAATCGCCCCGCTAGGTATTTCGTCAAAAGCGAGACAACCGCGCGGGCTATCCAAAAACAATACGCGATGACTCATCCGTGTCGCCGGCAGATCATAAAGTTACCAACGGGAGCTGGTGTGAGCTTAAGTGTGCTAGAATAATTCAGCGCTTCCTAGAATCGTAAGCGACGAACAATCGGTTATGATACGTCGTAATAAAAGTCGATAGAGACTTCGCCGCCTGGTGATCATTCGCTATTGTTGAATATCTTCGAGTTTTCTGTTATTCATCGAGAGTACACCATTTATTTCCGCAACTCCCTATCTCGAAAAATTCCATATTCTTGAGAAATAAAAAAAATTGAAAAATATGTATTTTACAAAAAAATTATAACGTACGTATTTTTACATGCACATTTTACAACTCGACAAATTCAAAGATTTTACAAAATCTGTTTTATTTTAAGATACAAGAAAAATATATTTCTTATCAAAATTAAGGCAAAGATTTTTATACATTAGATTTTTGTATTAATAGATTTTAATATTAAAACAAGATTGAATATAAAATTCAATATTATTGCATTATCATTACATCACGATCAACGATACGATTTCACAAGTACAAATGTCTAACATACGCTAGGATACTAAAGAGGAGACACGAAACCGACGATCCAGCTATGGGATCGCTGCCGTGGAATCCCATACAGGGAGAATTGAAATTATTCCCCCGATTTTTGTCGTGTCGTTTACATTATTTTCGCCTTTGAATATTAATGGGCATATGCTCTCCGGCGTTATGGCACAAGAAGTAACAACGGCGTATAATACTCAAGTCTTAACGTTATTCTATTGTTTGCAAATCAGCTCTATTGTTTTCTCATATACCTCTATACTCTCTCGCATACCCCTCTCTTTGCCCCTCCCCATGCTTCTTACCCTTCCTTGTCCTCCACCTCCCTCTCCTCCTCCACCTTTTCCTTCATCGGCGGTGGCCCCCCTTCCCCCTCCTTCCCTTGCCCGTCCTTTTATCGTCGTCTTTCTTTCTCTTATCGTTACCCATGCTCTCCTCTCTCTCTCTCTCTCTCTCTCTCTCTTCCCAGAATCACGATGGGGCGATGCGGAAAGATTTTTCCCAGCCATCCTCTCCGCGTCGATCGCTCGATATGTATGTTATTATGCGCGATACGCTGCAATCCGTAATATTAGGCACGGAAGGTCGTCGATAATTATGAACGAGGAATATAAATGTTCGATTAGAGATTGTAGAATTGATGGAACGCAATGGTCACGTACGTGAGGCGAGTTCTATTAGATTCGACGGAATTAATCGATTGTTCCGGCGCGGCGCTCGATCGGGCACAGCACGAGAGGTTGCTTCTTGTTAGGAGTGAAGTTCACAGATCGGTACGAAGAATCTCATCGGACGACAATGCAATGACGCATTGCAGCGTAACAGAATACATTTAGTATTTATATATGAAAAGTAAACTTTCGATAAATTTACATGCTGACGAGATAAAGTTCCTTTAAGATTCGACAACGAGTTGCTACGTGCACTCTATTTAATTCGGAAGGATTTAATAAATCAAATCCGTGAATAATTTTCAAGACGAACGGAAAATTCAACGTCAACGAAGAGAAAAAAGGACGACAGGCGGGGTAGACGGACGACGATGTAGTAACCGGTTCATAAATTCATCGTTGGATCTCAGCTAAGGCTTCGGAAATCGTACAGCATTCGAATAATTTGAGCCGCGATGGGGCTTCCGGCAAGTGTCGTTTCTTCGTCCGATGTCTCTCCCCTCCCCGAGTAGCGTCTGTCCTTTATTTTTTTTTATAGGTCTCTCGACTTTTAATCTTACAATTAGTGCTCCGCTGAAATGCGTTCGATAAATGCAGAATCATTTCGCAAACGAAGGAATCGAATTGTACTGCGCGTCGATATATAAAAGTTAGTTGGTTACTCAAAATTGAAATGCCGTGGCAGATATGCCCCGGGGTAATTTCATTACTTGGTAGCAGTAGGGTTAACGAAGGATGTTAAGCGGCCATTACGAGCGAGCCTGAGGCCATAACGCGATTAGTTCGCGGAATATAGCCGGGTCTCTCTTTCGTACGATAGATTTTACAGAAACATCCCGCGTCTGCCGTGCGCGGTTGCGTGGGCGGCACACGCTCGGCGTCCCCCTTTTCGCTTCGTCCCCTTCGCTCGCGTACGGCCCTGGGCACGCCGGTGCATTGTACATCGTAATGTATTTCTTTTAGGTACCGCCGACAATAGCGAGCCTGGCGGCGATGAAGGTGGAGGCAGCTGACCCGAAGGTTTCCGGTGAGTTACTATTTCCTCCTGCTGACGGAATTATCGGGATCGTAATTAGATTCGAATCGAGACTGCCGCGTTCGATGACCCTCGCTCGCGCGCGCGCGCGCGAACAAAAGGAAGGTGAAAAGAAAAAAAAAATAAGAACGAGGCGGAAAGAGACACTCGGCGGCGCGGCGAATGCGAAATCGTCGACGTTCGGCCGCCGCCGATGGTCTGGTTAGATCAGGTGATTTGTGTAATCGACAGCTTTAATCGTCGAGCGAATCTATAATGATTAGAATCGGAGACAATGTTGTCGATCGTACGCCACACGACGACGTTTGACCTTTAACGGCGGTCGGGATAGAAATAATCGGTATGCGTTCGCCGCGTTCGCCAGAAAGACTGGTCGCGCGTATTCCGGCTGCGGAAGCGGTCGGACGTGCGCGCGACGAACCGAACATTCAAAAATCAAACTTCTCGTTAAAAGTCTCGAAAAATTCTTGTCAGAAGCGCGATCTCGCTTCCTCTCGCTTTATTCTCGATGTCGGAATTATCTTTGCCACGAAATGCGTTTCCTCCCGAGGGAATCCATTTCCGTCTTCTCCCTCAAAGCGGATTTTCCCAACGGGAATTAATAATCGACCGCGGCTACGCGTGGAGAACGAGGCCTGTGCGGAGAAATTGCGGCATCCAGCGTATGGTGCGCCGAGCGCACCACAGTGGGCCCGCATCTTTGAGTAATTATCGCGCATTCCTGCATGCCACGTGACAAATATGAAGCTATACGTAAACCGGGGCTTTTGAAGTGCCCCGTCGGGGCGCTCTGCTCTCCCCGCGGCCTTTATTTGTCTCGATCCTCGCAAACCCGTGAATCGTGGCGCAACCTGACGAATCGCGGCCGTCCGTCGCTTTCAGTGTTTTGTACCCAGGGGCTGTTCCCCCTTTATTGGAATATCCGCCCACAGCATTATGGGAATTATCAAGGAAATGGGATGAGTGCCAACGCGGCTCCCACGAGGGGCCCGAGGGGGGGTTGCTTCGACCGCCGGTGATAAAAGAAACCCAGGATTTATCAATCTCTCTCTCTCTCTCTCTCTCCCTCTCTGTCCTTTCCCATGCTCTTTTTGAAGACTCATTTGACGTACTCTATTAAATACTCTGAAATATATAAATATACGCAATACGCGAGTATGTCTGATCGGGACAGAAGAAATCGATGCTTCGTAGTGATCTTTGATTTTATTAATTATCGTAAAGACTTTCCGCGATACAGAGTTTTTTTAAATTAATCATTATTATGACGAAATCGAGAATCCATGATTGCGTAGAAATATCGCTCCGTTGCATATAGCCGGTAATAGATGAAGCTCTGTATTACATAAAGATGTTTCTCGCTGACGTTCCTCTGGGGCACTATTAAGATCGATCGCGTTGCTCCCCACCGTCATTTCACTATCGGCATGCGAAGCATCATTTTCCTTGGAAAACGTTCGCAAACAACTCGTAATCTTGCGGTTTGTCGCGCAATTCCCGTCCGTCGAAACCGCGAAAAGATTTCGCGACGGAAATCACGGCGTGCACGACGAAGAGGGGCACACGCGCGGAGAGAACATCAAGTAGAGAAAGAGAGAGTGGGCGGCCTCTCGTTGGATTTTCTCGTCCAGTGACATATTCCCACAATTTCGGATCGGCCAATCCAACGTCGACCGGACGATATTAAACGCGTGGTGGGATCTGCTGCGAAATGGAATAAAATAAAATGTGTATGTTGTTCGCGCGCGACTAAACGCAGGCGGGCGCGGTGGCGAGGGGAAGTCTCTCGGCAAGAGAAAGAGAACGCGCGGGCAGGCACACGCGAGAGAAAGATAGAGACGTGAATGTATGCGTACGTGGAAAGGGAAAGAGAAAGAAAACGCTGCGAGAGAGATGCGGAGAGAGAGAGAGAAAGAGAGAGAGAAAGAGAGACGCTAGCAATCAAAGCTGATTAAGCCCACAACTGGGGAATCTGTGGGGCCAGTGTCTCACGCCAATCTTGCCCAATCAGCCGGTTGGCCGGGGAGATTTAAAAAATAGAATGCCTACTGTCAATTGTCCCATAATTTAAATAAATCGAATAAATGGACAAAGTGGCCAATTAGAGTAGTTGCTGGTTGCTGCTTTAACGCATTATTCTCTCTTTCTCGCAGTGTCTTCGACTCTCCTCTCTCGTCTCTCCCTTCCCCTCCCCCTCCCCCTCCGTCCCCCTGGCACACCCCCTTCCTCCTCTCTCCCCTCCTTCGTCTCGCTGAAGATGCTGTCCTCCTATTTTCCCCTCCCCTCCCTCGCACGCTCCCGATACTGTTCGCCGTCGTCGTCCTTTTAATTCTCCGCGTTTGACATCGACGTGCCGCTGCCACCTTGTCTTCGTGTCGAGGTGCCTTCATTACGTCGTGAAGAAGATGACCATCAACGACGCGCAACGTAAACGTATGATGTGCCCGCGCGAGATTGGTAATTCGAAACATTAGACTGTTAAGCCTACGGTGGATTCGCTACCGCAGGCAGCGAGCTTTCCGGAATCGCTACCAGTCTGTCATTTACCGAGATTGGTATCTCGAACAGTAGCCTATTACGACTGTCCACACAGATAAATAACCCCGCTTTTATTTTCACTTTGAAATTGATAGCTCGCACATTGGATTACTATGTTTCTCAGCTGCGAGCATAAATGTTCCAGCGCTGGTATCATTTAACACGCACTTTAAAGTTAATCTTTAAAATTAATATAAAGCTTCTCTCCGTTAAATTGACCAGATAAGTTTCTCGGAATCAAGTAGCATACGCAGATACACACTGTGCAATTTTGATATTAATATATCAAAAATACCTGATTGTACTGCATTTTTATACGGACTGGTTAAACTTGGAAACAAATTTACGATTACACACCGTTCTATTGCTGAACGTGAATTCGATGAGCGAGGTATATCTTCGGAGGAAAGAAAGAGAGTGATTCGCGCTCCACCATCTCTCATTGTCGGTATATCTAAATGAAACGCGGCATTTCTCGATCACCGAATTCTACGGCTGGACTTTACCAATTATAACAATTTACGACTTCAACAATTATCGCCGTTGTACATGCGCCATCGGTCCGCACCTGTTCGACATACGTTCACAAGGAAGCTTTAATAGCTTCGTTGATATCTGTAACCATCAATTTCGTGCAAATACAATTTAATTAAGCCGCGCTATCGCGCTACGACTGTGAGTAATATCGACATCGTCGATTCCTAACGATCGCATCTGTCAATTCATAAAGAGAACCCCTTAATTAATCGAGGCGTATAATCTTTGAAATACGATGCAGCGCTGATAGTTTAGAAAAAAATTCATCATTTATCTTAATATTTTCATCATTTTTTTTTTTAATGATGTGTCTTACACATATTGTGTAGGTATTATATGTGTCGAGTAATTTGTATGACTAATTAAGTTGCAATGAAGCAGTCATTCTAGAGGACGGTAATTGTTAGAATTACACATTTTCCCTGATAGAACCCGAGAGAGGTATTGTTATTTAGACGACTCCGTCTGAACACATCTAATTACACGAAACAGACTCGTTAACGTGAAATCACGAGTCTGGAAGACGGATGGTGTAGGTAGGTTCTGGATAGATGTACATAGATGCGCATGTGCCCGTCTATATACACACGGGTTGCCCGGTCCGCGGGCAGGCGGCCGAGCGAGCGAGCGAGCGAGCAAATAACAAATAAAGCATAAACAGGAGCTACGATAAATAACTGGTGCACCGCTCGCTGCATATAGTGTCGGCTATGAGCCCTCCGGGGCCACCGCTGCTCTTTTTCCTCCCGCTGACCCCTCCGGGGTCTCACCGAGGGAACGATCCGTCGCCCCCACTAAGATTACCTGCCGGATCCACGTACGTACCTGCAAACGATTGCAGGCACCGAAGAGTTAAAGCCTCGGCGACCTTTAGTTTCCGTTCGCGTACGCGCAGTTACGGGGAAGAATTTTTAATTTCAACTGCCTTCGTATGTAACTTTTTGGTAAGCAATTTAAATGATTGTGGAAGGCGTGTGTGTCGGGTTATTATCGCAGGAAAGTATATAGCAGTCACAAGATTGCCGAATCATTGCTAGCCATATACAGCTGCATCTTTAAGAATTATTCAATTAAGGAGTGACGTAGAGTATCTTGCGAAATTATTATTTTTCGTGAGAATCTCTCGGAAATTGTGTTTAAAAAATGGAACGAAATAACTCTTACAGTATTTTATATTTAAGTGAAGAATAATTAAATATCTATTTGATTTGTTTGAGAATGGAGTATAATCTGTCATTTCATGGAAGTTTACTTGAACAATCGTTTCTGCAAAAAAGAAAGGAAATAGTTATTCGCATGTAATTCAATCGAGTTTCACGCTAACTTTCGTTTATATTTAAACTCGCGAAACGGATTTCATTATTCGAAAATTGAATCGACGCAATTGTGATGACAGACGCATCGCGGTGTTTTGTTGCCACGTCCGTTTCTCGGGCAAGCAACCGCCTTAGCCTTGAAGAAATACCATTAAAAAGCGATATGTGCAGTGAAAGAGAGCGAGGGAGACGGAGAAGAAAACGAATTTCACGGTTCATTCGAAACTTTTTAAACGAATTTACACGCGCCGTCCGCCACGCTTCGAAGGGGTTGAAACTTTACGAATTAACCGCTAAGTAAATATTTGACAGGTAAATTACAGCCTGCGTCGTTCCGCTTTCTTTTTCCTTTTTTTCTGTTGAAAACGCTTTGCTTTATAGAATTATCGAGGAACATATATAGGCGCTGCGGCGCGACCGTTTTTGCGTTTATAATGCGACGGGCGCTAATTCAGTATTCGCGGCGACAGATTTTTCGATAAACGGCGATAAAAACCGTACGCGGCGGCAATTTTTATCGTCGCGTACTCACGGTAATGGTCGCGCGGTTCACGGTTCACCTAGACCCGCGCGAACAATGGCTACTTTCGTCGACGTGAACGCAAACAATGCTTACGCCGTAATTCGTGGTCCACTGTCCGCGTTCCCAGGCGCGTCTTCCCGCGAAACAGCTCGTCATCGCCGTCTCCCCTGCCTCGTAAAAAAACCCGGAGCGCCTCAAAGACCGAGGAGAGATACGAAATTTTATTATTTATATATGAAATTTATTATATCGCCAGACTGGCCCCGAGGGGCCCAACGCGGGCAGTGACGGGGAGGGGGGGGCCCTGCATCCTTCGTTTCTCTCCCCTTTCCCTCCTCCCCCTCTTTATCGTTTCTGCGACGTCTTCTCGCGTCGTCCCGCACGTCGTCGGTCTAATTTATCGTTCCTCAAACTTTTTTATTAATCTCTTACCTCCCGCGGAATCGCGAACGTCGCATTTAAAAGGATCGTCGCGGCGGTCACCGAAATGCATCGGTACACAGACGGAATGTCGTCCCTCATTTTTCGCTCCACCACCATGTCGCCGAACCCTTCCTCGTCCATGCCAATCCGACGCTCTCTCGGAGCCGGCGATTCCACCTTTCTTCGTCTTTTTCCCCCGGTTCCGTATCGTTTACGTGGCCGCGATGCTATCGGGTCGCAGAAGAAAGACATTTTTCCGCAAACGTACGTTATACTCTTCGCATGCATAAGGAGAAGAGGTGATGCCACGGAATATTAAATCAAAATAATTGAAGGTTGTAGAGAAACGAGATTGAGAGAGAGAGAGAGAGAGAGAGAGAGAGATATAGAGAGAGAGAGAGAAAGAGAGAGAAACAATTAATTATAAATTAACATATAATGTTAAATATTATAATTATTGTGTTGTAAATATACAATGATAAGCATTTATAAAAGCATTGTTCGAGAGAGAAGTAATAACATAAGCTATATGTAAAAACGTGAACGTTAATATGTAACACGTTCTCTCACAAACTCTTCTGTTAACAAGGTTTACGCCAATATCACGCGAAATATTCAAAGGTCCAATCAACCTCACCGCCAAGAGTAGTATTTAATATCTGCCATCCTTTTTGCCGATCCTGGAATTCCAGGGACGTTCCCCTCCATCTCCTTTTTCTCCGTCCACCGGTTTCCCCGTTCGGGATTCGACGAGATCTTGCGAACTTAGCGCGCGGGAAAAAAGCGCCTCGGCTAATTAATAGAGCGGGATCCAGACCCCCGAAGGGACCGAAGGGGAGAGGAGGGCAGGGCGGGTGGGGAGGGGAGGGCGCTCTTAGGACCCCTTGCGAAAAATAAAATACGCTCGTGGAGTAAATTAACGGAGAGCGGTGGGGCAGAGGGGAGGGGCAGGCTGCCGCGAGCTAATTAATAGAGCGAGGATCGCCGAGGAGAGTGGTGGTGGGCCCCCGGGTGGATTCTCGAATCTCCGCTCGTTTACGCTCGTTTTTTGCAACGGAGGATGATCCCGGGGATCACGGTCCAACGCCAGAGATTTCGCTCATCACCTTGCGCAACGTGTCATTTACCTCATTATGGAATACATGCCGAAAGAGTTTTATGCAAATCTTTTTTAATCCCGCCATTCTCGCCACGGATTTTGACTGGCACCGTTAATTACAGTGTCCCGCTTAATTAATTCAATTCTTCGCGGTACTTCACGCGCGGTATTTTATCACATGCAATTTCGAGAGAGAGAGAGAGAAAGAGAGATTAGGAGAAGCTATAGGAGAACGGCCGCGACGCGATAAAAATGGCTGGGTTCGAAAAGGGAATTGCGAAACGGGCGAAACACGAATGCCGCGATGTTGGCCGCGCGATTGGCCCCGATCGATTTGTATCGGGAAACAGCTATTGGCAATCGCATGCCGTCCTCGAAACTCAGGAATCCATCCGTTGCTCGATCGGACGATGGGTCCTCCCCCGGTCTCTTCCCCACCCTGCTTGATGTCGTCGCTTCACGTCCTCGTTTTTTCTTGGCCGTCGTTTCGCGATTTTTCAATCGCCAAGAACATGCCTATATTCTCATATCGGCTATATCGAATTATCCGCACAAAATTAGAATTGAACGAAACAACGAAGCAACTCCGACGTGCGAGATGTGCAACATTCTTATCTCGTGCAACAGTTAAATATAATTACGGTGTTAAGCAAAGGGTGAATTTTACGGTAAAATAAGAAATGAATTTTTCGCAGTCATTTCTAAAGGTGCCTTTTCATGTTGACGTTCGACGCTCATTTTTAGCTTCAAAATTACATGATCATAGTTGGCACGAAAGCGGCAACATCAAGTTTAATGTCAATCGTATCATTCGTTCTTAAAATGTTCAAAACAAAACAACAGCCTTTGACACTGAAACTGAGAAAATCCAGCTTCTTTTTTTACGCTAGCGTCGAAAAAGTCTCGTGACTACCAAAAATCCAGCATGTTGATTTCTTTACTGCTTATGTATTACTGCTTAAGTTTTTCTGTGTGCCATGGTCCTAACGCTAAAACAAGCGTCTTATGAATTTGCACCTTAAGAGATACACGTCAAAAACTCTCTCGAAAGTCAAGTCGATATCAATACATAACGATCCTAACAGTTTACGGCCGTCAATCTCGGAGAGGCGCGGAACGTCTTCTCTAAAACGTCACCCTAGTTAAACGTCGTCGATATAGGTCTGCGAAGCCCTTCCACCGCGTTTGCCGCGGAAATGAAGACATCGCCGACGGATGACTCTTAATCATCGCCGACGAGTTCGAAAGTGGACTCGCGCCGAGAAAATTACACGGTGTGTCCCTCGGGTCCGATCGTTGATCAATCACGCGTCCGAGAACGAGACGGCGGCTCGTCAGCACCCTCGGACTTCGCACTCGCGGCGAGACGAAGCGACCGATCTTTTTCTACTCGTCTGCCTCGACTGTCGGCTTCGCGTTTTGCGCCTTTCCGACTGTGCAAATCGCGGACCGATTGTAAACCGCTGCAATTCGGAGCGGTTACAATTGCAGACGCGGCACAGATGCGCGCGCGGTACAGATTGGCGTGTTCCAAGCTACTTATTGTCGCGTCAAGATTAAATATGCGGTATCGAAATTGGAACGTTAATTTAGGTTTTAATGCAAATCTTTCCTCAGCATCTAACATATTAGTTCTTCCATCGTCCTGTATGTTTTTTTTCGATCACTGCTCCGTTTTCCACGAATTAACCGACTGTTATTTGATTGGATCCTCGAATCACTCTCTACCCGGGATTTTTGAATCATATCCGCGTCTTCCGCTCCTCACATCTTGCTCGCGCTCGAAAAAAGGGTCTCCCGAAATATACGGAATATCCGCGGGCGCATCGTCGGCCGGCATCCGGTTGACTATTTCGAGAATATAATCACGAAACGAAGCGCCTCGCCTCGCCTGTGTGCCGCAGGCGAGCGGGGATCGGGGGGGAAAGCGTCGCACGGGAACGCGAAAGAAGAGAGAAGACGAAAAAGAGATTGAAAGGAACGCGCTTGCTCCGACGGGGGAAGAGAAGAGGCCGACTCTCTTCTCTATACAAGAACGCTTCGCGTTTCCACCGTTTACTACGTTCGGTCGCGTTACTTGAAGTCTCGTCTTCTCCGTCGCCGCGCGCTGCATGTTTCATTCCGTCGTCGGAGCGTCCTGGCTTGTAATGGGCCGTACAAAGTTCGTTATACATAGTGGGGTATTACGGTCACAATGTATCATCGCGATTAATTCTTTTCTGATCATATAATTCGTTTCTGATCACAAAGTAAACGGCACGGATGATTTACGAGCCGTGGTACATTTCCAAGATCGATTAGCCACGTTCTTTTCCGCGTTTTTCCGCGACGATATTTTTTTGTTTTATTTTTTTTTTTAGTCTTTCGTCTTGTCATAAAGAGCGCACTCGATTACACGTCGATGTTCAGTGGGACGTTGATAGCTGCTCACGAGCGTGAGATAATTTTGTCGGACATCATTATCATCGGAAACGATTGTCTCGGAACGGATTGAAAAAGCAGACCGATGTTTGAATTGCCGCTTCAACACTTGCTCCCGTGTTGCTTTTCCGTTCTTCCGCGAATCCCCTGTGATCTGCGATGCGCGGCCAGCTTTTCCCCGAGAACGAAGAAAACCGCAGACTCTCGCGGGCTCGTCGTTAATAAATAGACCTTTTCTCCTCCCTCTCGTGTCTCGCGGTCCCCCCTCGCCGCGCGCCACGCCATATAACCCGCTCGCTCGGAGCTCGTTGCCTCTTCGGCGTTTTAGTAATTCGAGTTAGCTCTTCGACTCTCTTCCTTCTTCGTCGCCTCCTCTTCGGCGCCCCTCCGGCTCCATCGGTCGTCCGTCTGTTATTTCGCGCTTGACGCGAAAAGCAAGAAAAAGGAGAATTGGCGGCCTCCGTGCGAGTACCGGGCGATGGAAACGGCCGAGAGAAAGAAAGAGAGAGAGAGAGAGAGCGCATAGCGTCAAAGGAGAGAGAAAGAGAAAGAGAAAAGTGAAAGAGAGAGTGAGAGAGCTAAAGAGGGTCGAAGAGGGTCGAGACCAAGACCACGAAGTCGCTGATTGTTTTAGCGCTAGGCCAAACTAAAACGGCCGGGAGACTCAGAGGGTCAGGGCCGTGTGTGAAAGGATTTGGATACGGAGATGAGTTTTTCATACACATTCGCAATTGATCGACGCATAAATCAATAAATCTTTTTTAATCTAAACTTGAATAATATCGTCTCGATATGTAATAAAGTGTATAATGTTACTTTGTATTATAAATATGAATGCTTTATAATATAATAGAGAGAGAAAAATTAATATTAAGAATTAATATTGGATTTATCATTTTTAACGAATTATCAATATATTTGTAGAATATGTTCAGTCTCACTTTTGCTAATGAATATTTTTCAAATGACTCCAACGTCGATATTTTATCAATACGGTCCTGTGAATTTTCTAACGCAAGAAGATCGCTGAAAAACGTTCCTGCCTGTTTTTTTTCTCTTTCGTTCTTTTGTTCTTCAATCCCTTTCTTCGCCTGTCCGCACAACGAGGCGGAGACGATAGGCGACGCGTGCCAAATCATGCGAGTGGAATTGGAGAAATTTAAAAAATATTCTAAATTTAATTACCCCACCGTGGACGACCCTCGGTCTTTCGAAATCGTGCGGGCTGCCAATGCTAGTGTTGAAAAATAGCCAATTGACGAATCGTCGCTCGAAGCGTGATCGGAGATCGCTTTGGCGCAAGAACGAATCAAAATGGCTCTCTATTGAAAACGCTGAAGTACGAGAGTGAGGTAATTATAAATAAAAACAATAAGATATTGATAATGAAATGAATTCCTAGAAGAATAGACATTTTTGTCATTTTTGTAAAATATTAAATTTTTGTTCATTGTTAAATGATATAATCTTCAGACAGATCTCATAAAGCGACAAGTAATTTGCATTCAGACTGCAGTTGTTCGATCAGACATTCCCGAGAGAAGCGAAATGGAAGAAAGGCAAGAGAGGAATCCCATGATTCCCCGAGTCTCGGGCGTCGATGGAAAATAGTGGCGCGCTTAAATAGTAGCCCGGGCTCGTTACGCGTTCGTCTAACCGCCTTGTTAAGCTAACAGTCGTATAACCGCGCCCGAGGAATATTCAAAGTTATTGGATACGCGATCTCGTAAATCACGGGGTGCTCACGCGGTACTTTGTAAAACTTCGGAATGCATCGTACTGCGCGTGGATGAGAGAAAAATCGGCGTGCGGGCGCGCTCGCGCGCATCAAGGATACTACCTTCCCCGGTACACGTGTGTGCATACATGTGTGTATGGAGTATATGACGCGCATAGAGCAAGCTCGTTGTGCCAGTTTGTCGTAAATTTCCGTTAACGAGCCGGCCGCACCGGAGAGTCCGTGGCTCGATCGCCGGGCGCGCGCTTTTCTCAGGCGCAACATGGCAGGAGAGACAAAAAACCGCCCCGCGAAGAAATATGAAGCTGAGAACCCATTGCGCGCGCGCGGAGTCATAATTTTCCCCTCGCGGAAATGAAATTGTTTATTGGCGTGCCGTTATTAACGCGGACAGATAACCGACCGCCGTTGCCATCCCCCTCGATCCGGACCTGGCTAGCTGTTGGCATCGCCAATGCGTAATGCGGCTCATGTTTATCACGCGCGCCGCTACTTCAAATTCGAAACAGATGAAGACGGATGAACGCGCGGGAGTCGCGGGAGTCGTTTTATTAACCGCCGGCCAGACCCGAGCGAAGTCGAACGAGTGAAAGGAGGACTTAATTCTCTAGAAAGCTAACACGAAACGATTAACGCTAATCTGGTCTTACGCAGCGCGGTTACCAGAAGATTACATGACCAGCAGGCGGAAAGCACAATATTACATTGGTCATTAGCAGTTGATGTGAACTTTATTAATCGGACAGCCATAAATAAAATATCAATGTGCGAACGGCAAGATGACCGTTTTGCAATCGCAGTTTGTCTTTTTTGTCGGAAAATTGCTGATAAACGCCAGTGGTTTTAGTATTCTTAGTATTGATAACTTTCACGTAATTTATTTCGCGTTATTCGCAAATCGGTCTAGTGTCGCTTATCGTTTGTTTAATTTATTTCCATTATATATCACAATTCAATTGGCGCTGACGTTTTTACAATTGTCGATGACTGCGACAAATCGCTACCCTTTGACCTTATTCGACCACCAATAGGGGTAATCGATTTCCAATGTTTCATCACCGACTTTCATCATCGACAGATTTCCCCGATGTCGAGTCTCTTTATTTCTTCATCGTCCCCCGCGTCCCGGAAAATTCGCTGAATGAAGCTATGAATCGCGCGGGGAATAGAGGCGATCTCTCTTTCTCTCTCGATCACGGGAATCGAATTTCTTGTTTTGACAGCGGATCGCCGATCCGTGGCGAGCCGCGTTTTGTCGTGCACGCCAAAAAGTTTTTCGAAAGTCGAACAAAGAGACGCGAGAAAGAGGATCCGCGAGGAACAAACCGGCGCGGCACGGCGGTTTCCCCTTCCGGCTATTTGAATTTGTAGAAAGGGTTCGCTTCTGTTTATTTTTTGGGGGCCAATGGAGGGAGAAATCGTGTGCGTGCAACGAGGGGGTAGATTGCGCGCGCTTATATCGGGCCTAATGTTACACACACGGCGTTTCCCCTCGTAAAAACTTTTGCGCGTCCTACGTAAGTATAAGCTCACGAGGGAGTTCGCTTTAGTGTAAAAACCCGGGGGGCTAGATGTGAAAAACTGGAGGAACGGTACCAAGTGCCAGAGTACAATTTCACTCGGCTTCGAACCTTTGTCTCCGACAACAAGATGAATTCTTCGTATTATCTATGCTTGTCAAACACTTAACATCGACGTACTTACATTACGTGCGATCGTATCAGAACATTCTGTCACATATGTACATTATATAACGGAAATCATAGAATGGCGAAATTCCATAAGAAACAAATAAAACAAATACTATCAAAAGGAAATGTCTTCTATATCATAATCCAACATTCGAAGAAAGTAATTCTATACGTAGTAAAGTCCACAAAATTTTTTGGAAAAATAATTAAAAATTTGTAATATTTAACGTAATTATTTTGTACCTATCGAAAAGAGCGAGAATTTATTTGTACGTTCGACTCAAAAATTGTATCCGAATATTTGGCTCAGCGACGCGTCCCCTCGTTAAATTTAACACGCCCGTCATAAGTAAGGGTGCAGAGGGTTTGCAGCGTTCTCTAAAAAGGAAGGGGTTGCATGAAGCGAGGAGAGAGGAGGGGGAAAGGAGAGAGTAAGAGGGTGTATTAAGTAGTACGCGTGTAATACTGCCCCGAAAAAAATCTATACAGCGACAGCGTCCGGCGGGACGAGGGCGAGCCGGATTAAAGAAAGAGAGATTGGTAAACCCCCCCCCGTTCATTTACTGTGGGTAAAACGATACCGGTGCCACGATATTAACGAACGCGCCCTCATAAAGCAAAAAACGAGGGAAAGCGGATTTGAAGCTGCGTGTTTAAATTTTTAATTCACTTCGAGATACCATTTTTGCGATATGAAAGATCTAGACGGCAAAGGTCTGACATTTCTCTTTTGCCGTCTTCTCTCCCTTTTCTTCAAATAATACTATCGCCACGAGAGGAATGATCGTGGCGCCAATCGTAAAATTGTCGCTTATGCGCTGCAAATCCCAAGGCGGTATCATCACGTTGACGCGCTCGCATCTGCAAGCATCTGTTTAACGCTCGGTTCTCCGACAGGAAAGTCACGACACGTGTACCCGTTTCTTTAAAGCGCCGTTACGTTGAAATTGTCGAGTTGCATAAGCTAACTGTGCTGACGCTTGATTGGATGAAAGAAGGTACATTAGACATGTGCGCAGCGAAGTGGAAACAATAGGGGGTATAGTGAGAGATTGAATATCCCTGAATTATTAAAAAACCTGTTATCAAATCTCTAAAAGCGCTATGCACACAGCTGTATTAAGCGGTTCGAACCATTTGCTTGACAATTGCTCGTAAAATTTATTATAGTTAAAGGCGAGATTAGGCGAAATCCCTATGAGGATACTGATTTTTTTTTTGCTACGAGAAAATGACGCCATGAACGACGACGCAACAGTAAAATCAATTGCATTTAATGAGCACCTTCGAAGATTTATTCTGCGCGAATATGGAAGTCTCGAACGAAGCCAAAACGGAGCGCGATGCAGGGCCGGCGCCGAGACCCCTGTCCTTCCTTCCCCTCCTCCGGTCGTCACCTCGCGGCTACCTCCCCCGGTAAAGAGGGCGGACTAATTATAATGAACCCGTTCGCCACGAATGGGAGAACGGCCATAACGACGTTTATTCTCGTCCCGAATGATTCCACGGCCGACGACGTACACGGCCGCGTCGGGCAAATAAGAAAAGGATGAACCTCCAGAAGAAACGCGACGACGTCACGCCAGCGGAGAAGGTGCTAAACGGGTGACGGCAATCTCTTTGGTGGCGTCAATTATTTCAGAAATGTATTTTGAATTAAGTTTCGTCGTATCAAAAGCTAATCGACTACTTATAGAGTTTTGCGATGATTTTTTTGGCCGATAGAGAATAGCTAGCGCGAAAGGAAATTTTCGAGATTTTTAAGTAAAGATTTTTAAGCCGAGATTTTTCAGAGCAGTTTTTCTTGATACTCGCTCGACAATGAAATGATAAGAAAAAGAAAACGATCTTTTCTCTTTGAAATTATAATGTGCATTCATCATCCTCACTCGGAGAAACGCAGCATTCAGTAGAGAAGAGAAAGAAAAAAACAAAGAATCGTACAGCTGAGGGATAAGAGAGGACAATGAGCGGATCGGGGAAGCGAGAGATAAACATGCAGAAACACAGGCTTTGCAGAAAGAAAGAAGGTGCTAAACGGGACGGCAGCGAGAGCGGGACGGGAGGACCATAATGTAATTTTGACAGAAATAACACCGCCGCATTTGCCGGGAAAGACAATAAGTTCGCGACACTCTTGCGGATCTTAGAATAGTGTCGGTCGCTCTCTCTCTCTTTCTCTCTCCCTTTCCGCGCTCACTTTCTCCATTTCTTCTCTTCGCCTCTCGGTCCCCCTTATCACCTACTCTTTCCCCATATATATTTCTCCCTTTGTACGAGTCCCCGCTGGCGCCGACAGCCTAGCTACTCCGAGCTTGGGCGCGCGCCATTCAAACGGACGCTAGAAGTCCATCAGTCACGATAGTCGTCAGTTGACTTTTATTGATATAAACGATCGCTATTGACACATTCAGTTACCTATTATCGGACTAAATCTGTTCTGATTACATTAAAGTTGCAGTATGTATTATGAATTTCCAATGGAAAATGTCTCGGGTCTATTCGCCTTTAAATCCGTCAAATGTATATTTCTTTCATTATACGTCGATTCAGAACGTTGCATATCTCGTGGCAACCATCGCATATTGGAAACCAAATAAAGATAAGGAAATTAGCCTTTGTTCGCTCGCCATACGGCAGAAGTGCTGGCGAATCGATACATGGAGTGCTCTAACGTTGATTCTGGGTTATTAAATCGCATCTGGTCGGCGGCGGTACCATTCGCGAAGCCATTTTTCCGGAAACAATGTCGCGACGAGGACCATCGAGGAAGGGTTGCGGGACCTTATAACCGAGGGGGCTGTAGAGGAAAGAGGCGACGAGTGAGGGCACGTCCGTATATACCTCGTGCCTGTGTTCACTTATTTCTTTTTTTTTTCACCGGTATTTAGAACCTCTCGAGAAGAAAAAACGGTTCAATGGGGGTCGCCGTGGCTAAGACGACGAATCGGCGAGCGCAGCGGGCACTCCACGCATTATCCAAACACGCACTTTCGTTAGGTTGCGTTAACCCCTCCGTGCGCGCGCGTATTAAGCGTGCTCGCGTGTATACGTGTGTGCGAGCACACGTGTAAGTGCACAGAGAGAAAGAGGGAACGATACACGTGAGCGCGCGATGAAGGTAGCGACCGTTTTTGGCCTCGTGGTACATCGTATAAAGGGTTATTCGCTCGGCCCACGGATTAAATGATAAAAAAGGAAAGCGACCCTGAAATACGGGGTCTTTTCAGGTTCGGGCCTTTTTGAAAATTTTAAACTCCCTCCTCTCGCGCCGCGCCTCTCTCTCGGACGTTCCGCTTCCATCTCTCTTCACGATTCGAGATCGGCTCCCGACTCCTCCCCCCCCTTACCGCTCTCTGAGCAGCTTTAAGAACTACATATAAAAGGGTTCGAGTTCTCTCTTTCTCTCTCTCTCTCTCTCTGTCTCTCTTCTGTCAAAGCCGCTGGGATGCGAGGAGGAAGGGAGCCCCAGACTACGTGTCGTCCTGGGGGTTTCACATATTTTTTAAGATTTGCTCTTTAAGCCCCGTCACGTCGCGCATATTCTCCATTTGGTACCATCGATAACCGCGTGGCTCCGCGTGGGTGGTATCCTCCTTTTCCGTGCAGGGGGGAGTATCAGATCATCTTGCAATTTTTTTTGCAATGCAAAAAAAAATAATAGACGTAGTGAACTTTCATGAAATCTAATTTTCTAATTTGTTAGAATTTAAATTCCGAATCGTAGCTCAAAGAGTAAAGAGTTCTGAACTATATGAATTTAATCTTTAATTAACAATTAAAATCAATTAATTTTATTTTATTTTATTGAATAAGTTAATTGGACATGAACAAAGCAAATATGATGGAATACGGGATGTTCTATTTTTCTTGGTAACATCGAGCGTTTTAATTTGAATGACAACGTCATTCGTTCTGCACCGAGACTGCAAATCGATCGGTTTTTTTTCTCTCCTCGAAGCGTTTCAAGGCCGCGGTGTGTTTCACTTACGTACCATCACGATTTTGGCACGCTTCCCGGTTTGCATAATTAGGCGTCGAAATGTTTGACATTCTTGGATACGGAGGAGGAGTCGGCTGAAGCCGGCGTATGTGCACGTCATATTCTCCCGGGACGAACTCTGGCTGTTTAATATTTATCCACGATTAATACGATGCCTTGTACTGCAGGCCTTGGCCCGAGAAAGAGCACTTCTCGATTACGTACTTGAAGCTTCGACCCGGCAAACAACGTAGCGGCGGCAGCCAGCGCGGATTATAAATTTGTGCAAACAATAGTTTCCCGCGGCGTGAAAGCCAAAGGTGCCTTTAATGAGCGTCTGCATTCGCGAGATATACGCGACATCGAGATACGCAGCTGCGTTGCGTAATTACCCAGCCAAAGGATAAGTTAATCGCCGTAACCGAATGTTACGCAACGGCGCGTAACTGGAAGCATATCCGGTGACACCGGCGCTTATTATTAAATCGGCCGGAGTTACTCGACTTCGCGCTGGAGAGGCGATCCGATTCGCGTGAGTGCCGAGAGAAAACTTTCGCGGTTTCGCGTAGAAATAATGTGAGGCAAAAAGGCACTGTCTTATCCAAAGATGTATATTTCTTCGTTGTAGCGAGAGGGAGAATAATACGCGCCGAATTCTCCCTTGCCACACTTTTTTTCCCCTCTCGGTAACACTCCGTTCCTCTTTTTCGCTTTCTCTCTTTCTTCCTTTCTTAGCCTCTCTCCCTTCTCTTTCTCTCTCTCTCTCTCTCTCTCTCTCTCTTTCTCTCTTTCTCCCTGAAGACTAAACTCTTTCTCTTTTTGCACCGGGATGCGTATACGTTCTTGCAGAAACGCTGCACGGGCGGCCAATGTACGCGGCGTTCCCTCCGTTCCTGACGGCACATATACCACGAAGAGCGGGGAGTCCCCGCGAGCCACGAGAAATATTCGACAATTTTTAAACTCGTTCCTGAACACGCGGGCATTCAAACGCCGCGCACCAGCCTCTCGCAGTCAGCAAGTACGAATTTCTGAGAATTTCGGCCGCGTCCTGGTAGGGTGCACCGAATGCTGGATGACGCGCGTGATAGATGTTGGTTGGGATTAGAACACTCGAGCCCGAGGAGGACACTCCGGGTTTCGACCGATGTGACACGTGATTTGTTGTCGTTCTGTGATCGGCCCCGCGCTGCGTCCGATTAATCAACGAGAAGCGCAGTCGCGATGCGCCTTTGTTCGTAATTCGCTGATATGGCCCGACTAATACATATACGATTATCCTTTCATGCATCAAATCTCTATAGCCACTCAATTGTGTAGATTTGCATTTCTTGGGTGTACAATGTATCAATCTAGTGCCCGGCGGGAAAGTACGAGTATAGGACGGCTCGTGGAAGAGAGGTTTGCCGCGTCCACCGGTATTCGACATGCCCGAATAATAAAATTTAAATACATCCTGGCAAGAAATGCAAATGCGACCGCTTGAGAGTGCTTTAACTGTAGAATTATTCGTTTAGGCAAAAAAAAAGGGGGGAGAATACGGCATGGTGTATGTGTGCGTGTGTGTGCGTGCGCAGTTTATTTCCATCTCTCGTGTGCGCATTACCTCGGGAGATAATTATCGCGAGCGAGGATTGGTCAACCGAATTGCGTCTCGCGCTCAATATTTTCTTGCGTGCCACGGCCGTTTCGAGTCTTTTAGGAGAGCTATGAACGCGCGGAGAGGTAAATCGCTTCTACGCGCCACCCTCTCCAACCTCCGCATCGCCCGCGGCCACGCCACGCTTTTTGCATATTGCGTATTGCGATCGGCCCCGATAGTTCTTTCTTTTTTTTAAGCCGACCATTCTTTCCCGCTCCCGCGCGCTCTCCTTTTTTTCCTCCGTCCTCTCTCCTTTATTTCGCGGCGCGTATCCGTGCGCGCGCCCATCGGGCAACCAGTTTTCGGTCGCGCGCGCGGGAGAGTGCCATAGGTCGACGAACGGTGCGCTCATAACTCGCGGTATGTGTATCAGAAGTCATTCCGGTATGCGCCGTTTCCTCTGGCGATGTGAACGCGAACCCGTATTATCCAGACCGATAGTATCGCCCAGAACACACGGTCGGTAAAATAAGATGGTTGCCTGTGGAGGGACGTGTTTATGCCAGACCGAGCCGAGTTCATATCGACCGAATACCCATCTGGCTCGCACGGAAAGAGACGAAGACCTCGCGCAGATTTCTAGGGCAGTTTGTGATCTACTGAGATCTGTCGAGCTTTGAATTTGAAATTTGATTTTGATAGCAACTTTTAGACATTTATAGTATTTCACAAATATTTCACTTATTATAACACGTTCATTGTACATTAAATCAAAATTATATTATAACGTAATCTACTTTGAATAAGAAACGGAGAATTGTTGTCGAAATGTTCTTGCTTATTTGATTTGATTTTTTGTGTAACATTTTCTTCTTGTATATTTTACAAATATTTCACCTATTATATTATACACTAGATCAAAATTATATTAACGTAATATCTACTTTAAGTTAGAAACGGAGAATTGTCGTTGAAATATTCTTGCTTATTTAATTTTATTTTTCGTGTAATATTTTTTTGTACGTTGAATTAATTTAAATATGTAGTCGATTCAATTTAATATATAATAAGAGTGTTTCTCGTCTGTCACAGCCTTGCTCAGGCAGAGTATGTCTCCGGTAGCGGATTCTCTGATGAGTGGTTCCAAAACGTCGGTGTCCCAACCGATCATCGATTATTCCCGATACGTGAGGAGATATACGTCCAGCCAAGAATGCGGCAGTACGTACTGCAAGGAACTGGGTTGCAGGGAGCACTTTCATTGTCTGGACTGTAGCGGCAGGGTGTTCGTGAAGAAGGAGGAAATGATCAGGCACTTCAAGTGGCATAAGAAGAGGGACGAGTCCCTGCAGCACGGCTTCATGAGGTACTCGCCGACGGACGATTGTTCGGAGAAGCACCCCGGCCGGACCTGTCCGCACAATAGAAAGCAGACCCACTACCATTGCATCCACGAGAATTGCGACAAGGTGTATATATCGACATCGGACGTGCAGATGCACGCAAATTACCATCGCAAGGACTCGGCCATCATACAAGAGGGCTTCCAGCGATTTCGGGCCACCGAGAGTTGCGCGACTGAGCATTGTCCGTTCGCTGGACAACGGACCACGCACTTTCACTGTCGTCGACCGGGATGTCGGTTCACGTTCAAAAATAAGGCCGATATGGGTGAGAAGCGAACTGTTTGCGTGATTAATGCTCGCTCTAGATCGAGACTATTCATCAATCGAAGCCTTTCACTAGAAACTTAATGTGTCGCAAACGTTTCGGATTTAATTCTTACGCTGAGAGAACGATTACGTTGATACATTTTTATTTGATGTACATATCTAATTATATTTTGTCGTTATTTCAGATCTCTCCATGATTTGCTCTACAAGTTTTCTTTTTATTTTTATTTTTTCAGACAAGCACAAGTCTTATCACATCAAGGACGAACAACTGTCGCGCGACGGTTTCAAGAAGTTCATGAAATCGGAGGCCTGCCCGTTCGAGCAGTGCCGATTCTCCCGGGTTTGCAATCACATTCATTGTATACGACCGCACTGCAGCTACGTTCTGCACTCTTCCGGCCAGCTCTTTTCGCACAAGCGAAAACATGAGCGTCACGAGTCGGAGCTGGCTTATCGGAAGTACAAGCAGGTTACCGCCGTGGGTGGTATCCGTCCACCTGGATCATGGGCGCCGGACGAGTTGAGCGCTCAAAGCTGCTTATCTCTAAGTCTGAACGGCGAGAGCTCGAACGAGGGCAGAGGTTCTCCGTCGTACTACTCCCTGGAGGATTCTTTCCAAAGCGCGAGCGACCTCGCGATGGATCTCACCGCTCCGACCACGACCATCACGGCCAGCGGGAGTTCCGTTAATCTCGATCAGCAGCAGCATCAACCATCTCAACAACTCACCGCCGCCGAACTGGCCTATCTGGTACCGGCCACCGCGGATTGCGCCTGTAACACGGGCAGAGAACACCATCATTGCGGACTGGACCGCTGCGGAACGACCCTGAAAGATCCCCGGGAAGTCAGGGAACATCTGAAGGAACATGAGACGCAGGAGCGCATAACGGACGCTTTCTTCGAGGAGGGCGGCTGCGACGACGGTTGCCCGTACGCGGACAAGGAGAAGCATTATCATTGCAATTGGGAGAACTGCCGTGAAGTGATACTTTCCACCGACAAGCCGTTTCGCAGATTGCAGCATTACAAGATACACGAGTACAGCCGGCAGTTGAACCTCTCCTGTTCCTCGCACGCTCTTTCCTCCGACGTCACGTTGACCCACCTGACGAACATCGACGCGATGTTCAGGCGGAAGCGCGGTAGACCGCCGAAAAATCGCGTCATAGAAATCTGGTCGGGCGGCGACCCCGCGACACACACTCACGATTCGCCGCAGGCGATCTTCACGAGTTTTAAGCTCCCGAAACCGCAAACTCCTAATTTAACGTCTAATATGCTGATAGACGATCGAGAGGGCAGCGTATCGCCCTCGAACAGTCTAGGCGAGCCCGACGGATTTGCTACGTACAACTCGGAGGGATGCCCAGACACGGCCTGCGTGCTTAGATCAACCAGGCACCATCATTGTTCGCAGTTGCGATGCCACTTCTCCACCGATCGGCCGGATCAGCTGCTTATGCATAGTAAGGATTTCCACGACAACGTCGATATACCACCCGGCTTCGCCTTCTACGATAAAATGGTCGACTGTCGACTGGCTGGCTGTCACAGCAATCGCGTTAATCGGCATTTCCATTGTACCAGACCGAATTGCGGATACTCGTTCGTTAGATACTCGACGATGGCGTTGCACGAGAAGCAACACTCGTCCGGTCACGTCGAGTCCTGCGGTCAAGAGTTGAATAATCAGGAATGTCAGACGCAACTGCAGTCGTCGATCCAAGAGATGAAACCTAGGATTCAAGTGAAAAATCCCGCCGAACTGATCGAGAAGCCTGACGAGAGTCTGACGGCGGCCGATCAGGATAGCAGGCTGATAATCGAGGACAAGGAATCCGAGCTTGCAAGTCCCGACAGCGGCAAGACCACCGGTAAGTATGAGAAAAGAGAGCACTGTACGCTCTAATATTTGGGCAAGTTACGTTTGGCAATGATCTATTTTTTTTTTTTTTTTTTTCGAAGAAAACACATCAGATATTTTCTTCCACTCAAGTACATATATGCATGCTTTTTCTTGCACGTAGTTCGCACACCAGTTTACACGTCACATCTTGCGTTTGTCGTTGAAGTAGGACACTCTTCGCTATTCTTCCGTTTGTTTGTTTTGTCTCATTGAGATTGTTTTATCGTTTTATTTTCTCGATGTACATACACACGGTGGTTGTATTCATAGCGGGCGGTATATTTGAAGTGTTGGTTGTTTGGTTGATTGTTGCTAGTGGTGAGGGCGGCTGGCACCTATTATCCGGTTAGCGGACCGCCGAGCGAACCCGCACTTCCGGGCGTCGTGCTATCCATGCGAACTTCCGTGCACCAAGGTTCGTCTGTCTCTTCTTGACCAAGTTTTGTGCTTCCGAGAGTATTTCTGTATTAGTAAAAAATTAGTTCGCCTACGTCTCTCGTGCCCGCGGGGCGTCATAAGCCGGGCTCAGAAAAACTTTGACATTGCAGAATCACCGGTCATGCCGTCTATGAGCTCTACCTCGCCGCACACTCTGTACGGACCGGAGCAAAGCTGCAGCAGGCCGTTCTGCAAGCTGAAACGCAAGAATCATTATCACTGCAACGCATGCAATCAGGCGTTCTCCGAGCTGGATCGCCTGGTCGCGCATATAGCGAAGCATTCGACCGGCGCCATTCTCAGCCAGCAGCAACACGACATAGTCAGCCCGTCGCCTAATCAGCTGCAGCACGACTACATCGCGCAGCTGTCGCAGAAGCAGCACGACTTCATGTCGCCGAACGCTCAGATGGCTCAGAACATTCAGAATTTTCAGAATCAGATGCAGCGGCAGATGCATCAGACCTTCAATCAGCAGTCTCAGTCGAAGGATATCAAGTTGGAGAAGCCGAGGTGCAGTATCGACATCGGTGTGCAAAATGTCCCGAACGTCAAGCGGGAGCCGTCCGAAATTGCGTGTAGGGACGAAGGCAACAATACCGCGTTAGACAGTCATGAAAACGGCCAATTGGCACAACCGCCGATTCAGCCTGCTGGCAATGTGCAACAGCCTTCGATACCGACAAGCTTCGAACTCGATCTCAGCCACGGCTTTCATTTTCCGAGCCCCGCGGTGATGGCCGCGATGAACCAGCAGATCGCCCTGATGAATCAGGCCCTGCCGCCGTTTCTTCAGCACGGCGGAATGTACGCCGGCGCACCCGGGCTGATGTTCGCGCCCGGTTTACCGCCGGCCAATTTCCTTCCACCCGCGAGAGACGAGAATCCCCTAGCCTCGCTGGCAGCTAATCTCAACATAAACAAGAGATCTCTCTCGCCTATAGACAATAATTCGCCGGAGGCCAAGAAGCAACGACTTCATCATTCGATGCGTATGCTGAAAGACGAGCCTGTACCGGAGGGATATGTCAGGTTGGTACAATTATTTTCGCGCGAACTGAATTGGATTGGTTGAAAGTTCAATTTTATTTTATCGCCAATTTTCAATTTTATTTTAATTCAAATCTATTTTTATTTTATTACAGATTCAGATTCAACGAGGACTGCAGGTACCCTCATTGCGGCTACAGAGAGCATCAGACTCACTTCCACTGCATGCGTCAAGATTGCGGCTACTCGTTCTGCGACAAGACTCGTTTCGTGCAGCATACCGCGCGGCACGAGCGGCTGGACACCCTGATGGGCGGCGATTTCCAGCAGTATCGGGCCAACGTGCCGTGCGGCAGGGCTCAATGCGCGTACACGTCGTCCCTCGGATCGATGCAGAACAAGGCGTCGCATTTTCATTGCTTGAAGTGCGACTTCGTCTGCACAGACACGAATAAGGTGGTCGCCCATCGGCGACAGCACGCCAAGTTGGACAGTATTGCGGCGGCGGGTTTCCAGAAATTTACGCCCAGTCAACCGTGCGGAGCGGTGCAGTGTCAACACTCCGGCAAGCAGACGCATTATCATTGTCTGCAGTGCCAGTACGCGGTGCTGGGCCTGGCGCAGATGTCGGCGCACAAGTACCGACACATGGACTCCTAACGATCTCCCGTAGAAGTCCTGCGCGTGGCAGGACGCCCGAATAAAGCATTACCTTGGTCCCTGTAGACATTCCCTAGAGAATGGCGTTGCCATCTTCTTCTCCGGGCTAGGTGGAAAATCGAGAGCGGAACCGGTAGGGGACTAGTCAACGACTTTGTCGCAAACACTCGCTGCCCACCCTGTCGATAATTGTCCCGCGTGGAAAAAAAAAGTCTAAACGGTCGTCCGCGAAATTCCGGAAGACGCCCATTAAAAGACAAATTCCTAGTCCCGATAGACATTCCCCGAAAGAATACTTGAGTGCCTCGATCGTTCGCGGTCGGGCGACGTTCCTGGTATAAGATATGATCAGTGGCAACCTGGTAGGGGGCTAGTCAATAACGTTTATCTTGAAAATGACAATACTATTAGGTCGAGATCTTCGAATCGAGATACGTTCGGTATCTGCGGCTACGTCGGGAAAACGTTGAGGCGATTTGGTGTCTTCACGTATAGAGTCTGAACACTGAGGCGAGCCGACGATGAAGAATCAGGGGAAACGCATTGTTCGAGCAATCTTGGCAGACTCTTAGTAACGCTTCCACGTATGAACTGGAACTTCGAAACGAGGTAAATTCCGAGAATTACCGAGATTTACGTAGTCGAATCTCAAAATACAATTCTTCCGGACCGTGGACTCTTGGGAGCCGGAAACGAGAGACTCGAGAATCTGGCGTAGCACTAAGACAATAATACGAAGACAAGTCTATAGTATAGCTTTAGTATGAAAAAAAAGACAAACTATAATATTTAATAGGAGAAAAGAAGAAAGAAACCTTGTACATTTTTCCCTTTGTTAGTGTCATTCTGTGTACCCTCCGCGTGAAGTCCTTACGACAATCTAGATAATAGAATAGTTTAATCGTTTAATGCATTGCCGGCCGTAAAGAACGAGGAGTAACAGTAAATACGAAGTGGCAAGTCGGCGACGTGATAATTCGATTGGTATTTTCTACGCTTTACGAGATAATATTAATGCGGCGGTCATATCTTTCGCTTTGACACCTTGAAGAAGTGGGGGAAAGATATAATGATAATCCTATCGTCTAGACTGCAGAATTAAAAAATATCTATTGCGTTATGTCGGCGGTATTAGCGTTCCTAATTGCGCAATCGATAACGAGAAGATTCAATAATATCTACAATATATCGAATACTCCTTATTTCCCTAATCTTTTATATTTGTTGTAAAAATTTTCAGAACAGTTTCCTCGTGTGAATCTTTCGGTTATTAATTGCAAATTATTTATTTAATTAATTTATATGATTGAGAGTTGATTGTGCAATGACGATGATCCGTTATAAATTCAATACACAAAATGGACAGAAACGAATAACACATGTTTCGTGCTGGATTACGTTCTGGAGGGTACGCGATGAATATTACAAGCAGTATTGATAAATTGAAAATTAATTAGAAAGACTGCGAGCCGAGACATAAGAATGAGGGATAGAATGGAAAAAAGTGTGAGTGGTCGTTGAACGATCAAGTTAGAGAACGTGAAAATTAAAGAGTTCGAAGAGAGACGGAAATTATACAGGATGTCTCGTATTCAATGGTACAGCACTTGTGGGGAGGTAGTGTGGACCAAACTGATCAAAAAAGTCCTCTACCATTTTGCGATCTTCGCAATAGTTATCGAGATACTTATCATTAAAAAATAATTTACGCCAAGTATATACAAGCGTATTGTGCATTAGGTACTAGGGCTTCAAGATTCATTCGGATTTAACGCTATCCGAATATTCGTTTATCCGGATTACGAATAAATGTGACGCTTCAAATTCGGGTTATCCGGATATCCGAATCTTTTAAGATACCCGAATAATAAAAGTATCGGATCTGGATCCATATTTCGAATTCAAATCTGGATTCGCAACAAATTTAGATTCGAAATCGAATTTAAGTTTGTAGCGGATTTGGATTCGAATTTGGATCTAAATTCGATAACTAAATATGAGAGTAAAAAAATGTTTTATAGCTAAAAGGGTATAGCTTTAAATATACAGTTGAACCTCGATAACTTGAACCTCTAAAATTCGAAAACCTTTATAAGACGAAAATTTTGTTCATCCCCTTCCGTTCTGCTGCGGAAAACCTCTATAAATCGAAATAAAATCAACCTTAACTCGAATTATTTTTCAGGAATTTAGATATATATTTTACCTCTGTAACTCGAACTTAAAGTAGCCAGATCTCTACAAATCGAAATTCACCTCTATAAGTCGAACTTCCATTGTCGCTACTTCTATAATTCAAAGTTGTAGCTATGTGTAACCGTGAGTAATAGCCTGATATTTTGTTTTATGGTTACATTTATCATGTGTATGCAATAAATAATTACTGTTAAATATTGATTTTCTTGCTTTAAAAGCCATTATAATTGGAAAATGATAAACTCTCTTATAAAGCTTCCGTAAATCGAATTTTCATATGTTAACCCTCTTTTACTCGAATTTCGAAAACTATAACTCGAACAATTTTTCTAGTCCCTTGAGATTCGAATTATCGAAGTTCGACTGTAATAAATAAAAATGCATTTTCAACAAACAAATTTATGTTATTTTAAATTATATATAATACATATACAATTATATAATTATATATAATAAAATAAAATACATTGAGGATGTATTTTATTCAAATTTAGATCCGGATCCTAACTTAAATCCGGATCCAAACTCAAATCCGGATCCAAATAATTCGGATATCCGGATTACCCGAATAATCGGAATAATCCGGTTTTGAGATTTGAATTGAAACCGATCTCGGATGTCCAAAAATCTGGATATCCGAATACTTAGAAGCTCTATTAGGTACATCTTATCTAACCCAAAAATATTATTTTAACAAGTAAAAGTTGTCCAAAAATCAATATAAGATCATACAAATTGCCAAGTATTTGATTAGACATAGAGAGTAGAGACAGAAATATTTTATTCCAAACTACAAAAATATGTTTTTAATAAATCGTTTAAATTATTCAAAATTATATGCAGCAAAAGTTTAATGCCATTGTCTTTCCAAATAACTTTAAGTTTCGTAATAACAGATTTAAAGTTATTAAAATGATTAATAGAATCATAGTGAAGCAAAAACTTGGCCATTATGTAAAATTTTTTCTTTTTTTAAAATGATTAGTATCTCGATAACTATTGCGAAGATCGCAAAATGGTAGAGGACTTTTTTGTTCAATTTAGTCCACACTACCTCCCCACAAGCGCTGTACCATTTAGTACGAGACACCCTGTATATGTGCGAAAACGAAGAAGGAGAGGAAAGAAAAGATATATTCAAAGTATGTTCTAAAAAAAGAAATGGTCGCTGATCGACATAATGCAAAGCTGTTTAATATATATGTGCATATAGTGTATATGTATTGTGATTGGTACGATTCGTTCGAAGAAAAGTATGAATTTTCTCGCTTCTTCTATTCCTAAAGCACGCTCAACGATGATACGAGATTCCATTTTTCATTTGATAAGTTTATTATTTTCTCGCACGTAATCTCGTCGTATTACTTCTTATCGTATCGTAGGAGCATCTTCTCGCTCCTCATTTTTAGACGCGAACTAGAGAGAAGAATTTTGCATTAAATGAATTTTTGCATTAATCAGATTTATCTTTTATCCTCGGAGACAAGATACGGTCCGTTTGCACAGAGAGTGATAATGACACCGGATGAACGATAAGGGGAGTATCCGGAGAGTATTTGGCGTGTGACGTTCTCGCACGGAGACCAGACATTAAGAGACACACGCATTTCTTCTCGGCGGATAATTAAATGTAATTACACAGAAAAATATTATGCGACTGCTCGGCGAGAGGTGCCTTTGGGATCTTTTCCGAACTTCTGTAGGACCGTGCCTTAGCAATTTTTAACGGTACAACGGATACGTAAGAAGAGCTATTTGTTCAACATAGCAGCAGAACCGAATCGATAATCAGATTACACAGTGTTAGACTACCTACATACACCTCATTTGTAGCTATGATCGAATTTCGGAGCAGAATATCGTAATTACAATTAATGGAGAGATCACGTTTACGTAGATGGATTAAACGAGAAGATTGAAATTTAATTTTAAAAGATAATTAAATCTGAAAATAACAGTTTTCTAATGCAATCATCGATTTCGGTGATCATATCGTGTGGTTCCTGAATTAGATTCCTCTCTGAATTATTTTAACCGACTGGCCGAAAAACGATCATAGATTTAATAGTAAATGGAAAGAGCGTTAGTGCCTTAAAGATACGTCAACTAGATGAAACGCCGCAGAATGTAGTCGCCGATATTTAAATGGCCATTTTCTAACGTTTTTACATTTTTTATGAAATATCTGTAATTCGTTTGAAGGGGAAAGAAAATCTTAATCTGTAATATTTTATCGTCGCCGAGAAGTTCCCTGATTTTTCACGTGCAAAATTCAATCTCAGAGACTGATACACGAACATTTTGCGAAAGGTTTTCTTAGAATTGTACTCAATATCTTACTCAACAATTTGTTGATATGAAAACTACTTGCGTTAATATTTTTATTAAAAAGTAAAATAATCTCACACAATGTTGCATCAACAGCAAAAGAACGGTCGACCGTTATCTTTTGAATATGTCACAGAGACACTTACAACTTTGTGATGCCATCAGAATACAAATGTGTCTGCTCCCAATTAAGATATCGTCGCGACTGCTGTATTATCGTATTAAGTGAAGATTAGTTTACAGTCCAATGGTCTAATTTATGTCGTAGACATTGGTCGACCATGAATTTAAAATCGCAAAAGATATCATCCACAAACATATGCGCTGTTAAAGTCCATACTGGTAGAAATACATATAAATAATTTCTTAAGTAGAACAAAACCTCATGTGTCACATATCAAAAGTATTGTAATAAAAAGTCATATATCATCACTGAGAGTATGTTCGGTTTCTGCAGAGGAATATTAATTACGTAGTGGTAATAACTGTGAGGTAAATAATTAAGATGCTATGTATTAAAATGAACATCTTGATAACTAATGACAAAATGGTTTATTTTAATTAGAAGTTTCATCCGTCAAACAATCCGGTAGTAATGAAAAAGTTCACTGAAATAATTTTGAAAGCGACAATACGAACAGCAAAGTTCACGAAAAATTAAAGTTTTATATTTAAAAAGTCATTTAACGATTTTCCACTTCACATTACTGAACCTGTAAACAGCCAAGCGAGATAGATCGATCGCGGTGATTCTAGATGGACCGACATTTCGGTCGGTCGCGCTGATCCCTCGAAAGCGAACCGAGGATCTCAATGTCCTAATAGTTTTCCTGAAACATTACAATAGTAGCATTCCATAGCAAGTCGATAGTTATCGATCCTGTCCATGTCGACGGTGCGTCCTCCTTACGCGGCAGTTTAAAAATCGTGAGGAGAGTTCGTCGGTCTCGTGGTATCGTGTGTCGTATCGGCGTATGTGTAACGCGATATCGAAGCGGATACCAATCCCAGAAGCAGAAGAAGGAAATGAAAAAGAAAAGATATCGTTCTCAGATGATCCGTGCGCATCGGGAACGTGGAGAGGCTAGAGTCCAGCCATTAAACAAGTGCCATAAAACCACGCTGTAAAAATCGAAGTAATTTTTCTATATTAAGTCGAGAGAGAAAGAGAGAGAAAGACACTTGCGCGGGACTATGGAAGATATTCAGTATGTGGTCGGTAGACAAATCTGTATAATAT